AAGATGTTCAGAGTTGATGAACAGATGGATGAAGCTAAATATGGGAACATCATGCTTAAAGGTAAAGAGTGGTTCACCTTAGGTGAGACAGTTAATGCTACAATAGAATACCAATAGATGTGCTTGATGGTATTACTTATTAGAACATGTGTAAAGTAAAACCCCAGGAACCCTAAAAACAAATGTGCATCACACTTTCTTGATTATAAAAATGTTTAAAAACAAGTAGGCTTGAAGATTTTGCACTGCTATGCATTGGTCTATCACATAAAATCCCAGAGAAATAGATCCAGGGTTACGGTTAAAATGTAATAAAGAGGTATAGTTCAAGAGGAGTCATCCTGTACCTGAGGAGTTAGAGTATTCAATGATTCCCGGGCTTTATCCAGTTGAGGCTGTACTTTAGCCAGCTCGGCGTTGCACTCATCCTTTATGACCTTGGCAGCCATGGCTTGTTGGTTGGACACAGCCTCGTCTTCCTTCACCACCTTCTCTGTCTCAGCTACCTCCTTGGACTCAAGTTTGATCAACTCCATCATCTCGTCTACCTGTTTGCTGGCCACCAGTAGGTCTGGCTGCAGGGCTTCCAGTTCGACCTGCATGGTCGCCACTTGGTCTGCAGCTGACTGCAGCTTTTCAAGACCAACTGCATAGCAATGTTTTAGTTTCAACACTTCACTGGACAGCGAAAGAAGACAAGGAATGACACATGACTGTAAGGTACACCCTAAAAACCTAAAATCACCTCTCACACTAAAATTACAAATGTGATGAGCTTACTCTCTTTTTGTCCCCAGCAGTGCTTTGAAGTTAGAAATAAACTCCAGGTAAGAAGTTGGAGTGACATAGTTGTAGCGCTGTAGTTCATCTAAAAAGCGAGCCGACACATCAATAGCAGATGTATGAAATATCTTGCACATGTGGATGCAGCCTTCTCGGGTCCGATCAGCCATCTCAATGTCCTCCAGGAAGCGATCAGCCACGGCATGCAGGGCATCCTCAGGCCAAGACTATTAGAGGCAGAATTTTTTCAATTCAATTATTTATTTTGTTATAAAGCACATATACACAACACATGTAATTCAATTCAATTAAGTCATAGATTCTGATTGGTTAAAAGGTTTCTATCTAAGGAAAACTAGCTGATAAATACTCTCTAAAGCAGAGAATGTAACAGTAAACTACCTCCATAGGTGTCGCTGTCTAGTAAAGAAACATTCAAGCAAGTCAGGGCTGACGTCTAAGTGGAGCCCATAGCTATGTCTAGAAGAGAAACAGGACTGAGCTCTGAAAAACAGGAGCAGCCCCACTGATGCCTCCCTCCAGGATTGTCTTACAGCTAAACAGAACTAGGCTATATGATGCTACTATGAAAAGGAAAGCAAAGAGAACATAAAAAGTAGGGGTTGAACTGAAAATACTGCAAAATTGGAGATTACAAAGAATAATGAAGAAAGATGAAAAGTGGTCCCTACGTCCTCCAGCAGCATAAGCTTATAGCAGTATAAGTATAGTGATAGTTCAGAATAACTTGAGCCACTCTTACTAAGTTTAAACCTAGTCTTAAAAGTTGACAGGGTGTCTGCCTCATGGACTAAAACTGGTAGTTTGTTCCACAGGAGCGGAGCCTGATAACTAAAAGTTCTGCCTCCCATTCAACAGAAATTCTAGGAACCACAAGTAAACCTGCAGATGAAGTGTGAAGTGCTCTGTTAGGAACATAAGGAACAATCAGATCATCTCTGATATAAGATGAAGTTTGGTTATTAAGGGCTTTTTATATAAGAAGAAAAAGTTAAAATTCTATTCTGACATTTTAAAAATACTCTTACTTTTCAATAAAATACAATTCTAATATTACATACAATTCATTTTAAGATGTTTTTTTTAATAATAAAATATATACACTCTCTTTCCTTGATGACTAATGACCCACGATCAAACAAAATTAAAAGTATCATTGTACAATTCAAATTACCTACAAAATTGCTTTTACACATCTATGGGGTGTCAAAGCATAACATTTTAATGTGTCACTTTTAGGAGCACTTGAAGGACAAAAGTTCTGACCAGACCTTACCAGAGATTCAAAGAGTCCCAAACATTCACCGAAACAAACAGAAACTGCCTATCCAAGGTCCAAAGTGTCTGCTTTCAGTGTTCCAAAGCCCAGGACTCCAAATGAGAATATTTATCTGCTGCAGCAGATCACTGTTAATTCACCCACCTGAAACCAGTTAATGGTGCAGCAGTTAATGAGGGCGGGAAATCGTCTTAAGCGGTCCCTGAAGGCGTCTCCGATTGGGCTCATGGCCAGCACTACGTGCAGCTGTGTGCGGCAGCGCTCTAAGAACATATTGAACAGGGACAATGGGCTGCCATCTGTCTGCTTGGCTCGATCGCGTTGGCGGTCCAGCACACGCATCCTTTCACAGATTTCCTGCTTCTCATCCACAGCAAACAGGTTGGGGACCTGGGAACCAAACAGTGATCACATGTGATGCCTCTGTTCTCTGTGTAACCCTAGATGGGTCTGCCTCCCAGTTACACTTTTGTCTATTTGACAGTAAATCCAACATCTCAAAACTGATCAATCCCTTTTTTTGTTTTTCTTTTTTACTTTTTAAGCTCACCTCTCCAGTGTTGAGCAGGTTGCCAATATCCTCCAGGAAGGACTCCATCTTGATCTGAGAGTCGGTGAAGAGGAGCACGCCATGAGCTTCGCCCTCGGTAGACTTCCTGAGAATCTTCTTAAGGTCATCGTGCCATTCATTGATCCCATAGGTCTTTGTGATTTCCACCTGAAACAGCTCTGCCTCTGCCATGTAGGCCGACAGCCGGGTGAGCGACTGCCGCCCGCTGCCACCCATTCCCACCAGCAGGGCGTGCCCGCTCGGCTGCTTGATGATGCGAGAAATGCGGCAGATATGCTCGATAGCGAAGCGGAACAGCACCAATTTCATGGGTGCTTTGAAGATGGTGTTGTATTCTTCCAGGTGCGACTCCACCACCTGACGCAGCTGCTCCAGGTCGTGGACCTCACGGTAGTTCTGGTCTTCACCCTTGGGGTCATGGAAATCACAGAACATGAGGCTGCGCAGGTCGTCTTCGGTCACCACTCCATCCTGGTCCTGATCCAGGTGCTGGAAGAGCTGGTGAAAGTCTTCCTTCATGTGATTCTGAAACACAGTCTGCAGATGGCTGACAAGCCAGGAGCGATCAGCATCGTCAACCAACCGATCACAGTACACCCTGAGAACCTGAGGAACATCGGTCCCAAAGAAGAGTCAGACAGATGGAACAGACATGGAGGCATATTTTATGGTTGCTAATGATCTCCTACCCCCTAGTGGGTTTAGTGTTACCTCATGGACCCAAAGTCTTCTGATGACAGAAGGCTTCTCTGCTGTTTCTGGCCTTGACAGGCAGATACCCTGGATGACTCGGGAAACATCACGCAGATTAAACAAATAATGGGATTTTTTTGGCGTTGGTAGCAGGTTGTTGGTCACCTCCTGGTACATAGACAGAGTACTGCCGACTATCTCAGGGATCAGGGATGCAAATGGCTTCGGAAAGGAAAACCTAGTGACAGAACATGTTGCTCTTTAGAGCCTAATCTGACAGGCAGGCAAGATTGAAACATATTAATTAGTGTTGCACCGATACCGATACAGTTTCGTACAGGGCCCAGATACTGCACTAAAATGGTGGTATTGGTATCGGTAAGTACCAACAAATAGGGCACCGATACCATTTTGAGAGTCAAAAGTCTATTCAACTATTGTCACCTATTCCAGGTAAGCAATAAGAAGTTCTACTGGATTCACTTTATATTAGTCTTTTTCCTGCTTCACAAAGGTAGGCAGCAGCTTGAAAAAGCCATGATGGCAATTATTTTACATCCAAGTGGTATGCAGTTCTTCATATATACACACATCAATTTCACACAGATGGTATCGGTATCGGCCAATACTGCACAACCAGGTATCGGGGCCAAAAAAATTGTGTCGGCACAACACTACAATTAATGTTTTTTTTAATAAACTTAAACTAATGTCGGAAAAAGCATTATTTCAAAACAACTTTTTTTTCAGTATCTTAAGGACATGATGAAATATAGAGAATAAGAAACAGCTAAATCACACCTGTAACAGATTAAGAAGACTAAGGATCCAAAGAAAGTTGTTCCTAAAATACTTTTAAACTTGACAACAGAGGTTTCATGTTATACACTAACACAAAGTATTGAACTTCAGTAAAATAGAAGAGGAATGAAATTTAGTTTTCAAATTTATTTAATTAAATTAAATTCTATTCAGTTTATTTTTATAACACCAAGCCATCTCAAGACACTTTACGGAGACAATTAAACCAGATCATATCGTCAGATTGGTTCAAAGTTTTCCATATAAGGGAAACCAGTTGATTGCTTCCCTCACACCAAGCATGCTTTCTAACGACAGTGGAGAGGAAAACTCCCTTTTACAGGAAGAAACCTCCAGGAGAACCAGAATCGATTCTGCAGGAGGTTTCATGCAATTAGCATTACAACTGAATGGTTAGAATAAGAGCATTTATCTGTCAATAGAGCCTTGGAGGACCAGATAAAGGTCTACTAAAGAATTCCAAAAAAAGTTAAAAACAATCCAATGGACTTTGTTTCCATGTTCGAAGACATTTCGCTTCCCATCCAGGAAGCTTTTTCTATTCAAAATGTCAGGAATAGCGTTGAGTTTGGGGTTTTATACAGCAGCCTAACAAAGTCTGTTTTTTGTTCTGAAAACATGCAAATTGGAACAGACGAACGGGTCCACACCATTGAAATGGGGGTTGTTAGGCTTCTTTTGTTAGCCAGTAATGCCCCATACCCTTGTAAGTGCTAAGTACTTAGACAGGTACTAAGTACTTAGAGGTGAAACGTCTTCAAACTTGAAAATAAAGTCCAGTGGATTGTTTTTAACTTTCTTTGGAATGACCTTGACCTGGATGACAGAGAATCTTCACCAACATCTACTAAAGAAGCATTAACTTCACTGAAATCCCACAGTCCTTTCTATTTGTGGGAAAAACAGATTCAAACCTAGTCTGCTTCATCTGGAACTGTCCAGCTTTGCACGAATTTGATTTGATTTTTGACACTGTTGCCTTAAACAAGATGGAAGATCAAAATCTCAGTTACCGTGTGGTAAAATGCCACCTAGTGATCCTGGAGAAGATCGTATGCATGGTCTGCTCATCAAATTCATTGATGCTGATCAGGTTGAAATGGCGCAGGAAACGAGGGGTGACAGGATTCCTTCCCCCACCTGAAAGAAATCGATGTTTGTTTGTTTTTGTTTTTTTATCTTAAACTGACATATGATGAACTTAACTGTATTTTAATATATGTTTTATCAATAGATGAAGATTTCTGTGTAGAAATGACATAGACAAATGTTATTTTGTATACACAGAGTCTATACAAAATGAAATGTTTTTGTTTATACAGCTTTTCGACAGTGTATTTTTATTTTTAGCAGCAGCAGCTGCTTATCAGTGAAAAGAAGAATAAAGAGCAGCGGTGCTCAAAATTTAAACAGTGTGGGAGTGACATGGTGAAAATAGGCATTGATGTGGAAGGTTCAGAGCAGTGCAGAATAAATAAATAGATATGTTGCAAAAAGAAAAAAAAACATTTGAGTTGAATTCTATTTTGAAGAATTACCAGATTCATGTCAACTTTATGTTGCCCTTTTAATATATTTAATGTGCTAATTTTCTATAATCTTCTATGCATTGTGTAGATGAATTTTGGGGAGTAATTTCCTGTGTAAACCATTGAAACTGGAGCTGTTTGTTTCCAAACTGGATCAGGACTGTGAGGACCAGCGGCGGTTTCAGCTGGATATTTACAGGTTTACAGAGAGCAAGCAGAAATCTGATGAAACTCCATGTCTATTGCTATTTAGTCCCTGAATTAGTTGGAGGGTTGCCCACAATCATGCAGAGC